AAAAATTTATTGGCGTTTGCTGCTACGTAAGAATTCATCGTAGCTCATAAAAGTAATGAAACTGCCCACTAATTAAACTTAAAAACAAATTTTTAAACAATACGAATAATAAAAAAAGTTTTAATTACACGTTAATGAGTCATTAAATAACAATCAATCTTAATAAAGAACAACGGACATCTTGTTGAATAGTCCCCGCGGCCGTGTAATATTCGGATTCTTTATTAAAAAGTTTTTGTGAAGTTATACAAAGCGGATATGCGAATCGCCAGTGTGTTATTAATGTACGTGTTTTCTTTGTTTCGAAAAACTCAAAAGTAGTATTATAAGGGTTATTGAGTGAACGTGGTGTCGTCTGTTGTCTGTACGCCGGCAAAAAGTAAACTTAAAAAGATAAAACACGTTTCGCGGTGTTGTTTCACTCTTCTTTCACTTTGGACAAGAGACGTGGCCGCTTTGTTTTGTAATCAGATTGTTGGCCACGTTAAATACCCAAAAGCAGAAAACTTTTTGAATGTTAATAATCCAAGTTAAAATAATTTATTGTTGAACTTAACAACACTTGCCGGGTTGCTTCCCTTGAGAATGTCAACAACATAACATTTGGCATATTTTGAGCTCGCGCCTCAACTTGAATATTATTTACAACCCCCCCGGGCAACAACAAACCGCTTTTTTCCTCGGTATCTATTTTGTTATACTCTTAAATAATATATTCTTAAACGCTACTTTTCTATAACATCATATATTACACGACATTATAGAAAAATAAAGAAAAATATGATCTGCCTTTACATGAGGAAATATAAAACGATAATTTACGGTGCACACTTGACCTGACCATACACTGAAATTATTAAGGTTAAATATTCCTATGATTCCTCTAGATACGTATGTCTTATCTAGTTTAAATATTATTATACATGTAATATGCCATTATTAATTTTACATAATTTTCATCATGTTTTTGTAAAACCTATTCTATGTGTCATTCAAATATTAATTTTTTTTTAATTTAAATAATTACACCTTAGAGGTAGTTTTATACTATTATATAATGCAACCAAGTTGACATAATAGGTATATTTTTATTATTTACTCTGTCAATAATATTTCATAGCCATTTATTATACAAATTAAAACTAAATATATGAACTGTTTCCTTGTTTGAACGAATAGTAAATTATTAAAAAAAATTCATGAATGTCAACAAATAAAAAGTTTTCGTTACTTTTGTATTCATCCAATACATCTATGCATTATCAACTCATTTATATTTGACATGTTTTTTTTTTGTAATAGAGGAAGCTATAAATAATTATACAATAAAGGCATGTTTAACTGTCACGAACCTTTTCCTCTTTTTACCTCATCTCAGAAGCGATGAATGCTTTTGACAGTAACAGACATATAATTTAAAATCACAAGATTAATTTTTTGTACAATTGTTGTAGCAACAAAGGTTGAAAAACCGTATTTTCTAGCTTTTATGTTAAAGTTGTCGAGCATAATTGTTTCAAGAGTTTATTAATTTGCTGCCAGTTTATTTAAAAAACAAAAAAAACATGTTGTATTTTTATGTAAGTTTTTGTTGACTAATTATTAATTAACGTTAAAATTAAATGAATAAGCAATTGAAATAAACTACCTATGTATTATTACCTAGGGCAATAACTCTATTGAATTGTATTATAAAATTTTTTTTATTCTCTTATTCATACTATGGTTGTGAAAATCATATTTTGATTAAAATCATATGTATGTCTCACATTTAGTCTCTTTCAATTATGCAATTAAAGTTTCTATTTAAATTAAAAATTTTATTTTTATTATTTTTAGCAATACAGCCTGAATAATATAATAGTACGTTAATGAAAAATATTTTTATCACAAAAACCTATATGTTATTTTGAATCATCATCATTAGGGATTTTAAATATTTCATAAACTGCGTTTTACATGTATCTTTGAATAGATTAAAAGGCTGCGAATCAAAATAACATAACGTAGAAACCTACTAATCGGGAAAAGGTAAAAATAAAAGAACAAGATTGAGTGTTTCCGTCGTGTAATATATTTTAATTATTTTTTAACCGCTTTGTGCGGCTTTTGATTTAATAAATAAATGTAAACCGGTAATGACCATTCTTTGTCAGCGCCATATACACTAAAAAAGCGAATTTTTTCATACGTATAAATATATATATATATATATATTTATATTTATAATAATGGGGATGTTTTCCTTCCGTAATTACACCCGTGTAATAATACTTAAACAACACTACTATACAAAGCGGTAGTTTAGAGCATCTGTGCCCCGTGTCCGTCGTTTTTTGGTTCAGTCATACACGTAAAATATATTTGTCCAACATGTGTACTGTTCGAACGGTTTTGATGATAAGGGTAAGTCGGAGGATGTCAAATGGACCGATGTTTAATGAACGGTTTTTTTCCCTTCGGATTGTAACTTATAATTTGATTAAAGGGTATTTGAAAATTTATGATCAAGGGTGAGATATATGTATTATGTATATGATTTTTATGTACAATTGTAGTAAACTGAAGTGCTGGCCCAAAAGTCAAAGTACATAGGTAAAACTATGCCCCTTTTTAAAAAACTATGCGCCCTTTTTGTTTACGTTACCAGAATGTTAACTTTTGGATTATTCAAAATTCATTAAGCAAATGGTCGTACAGTGTCAAACATCGCCTCCGTGTAACTGCTTTTGTCGCGCCACATAAATCGTTGCCCATACATTAGCTATTCAACTATAATAACTTCTGTTTGCTGATGAAGTATAGTGGATTTTAGGTTCCCATTAAAACGTTATTAATTGTTATGATAGGTCAACCATCCCTTGTTCGACTCTATAAATTAGCCGTTTCACGAGAACCTTCGATAGATTAGTAGTTTTGTATAGGTACGCTTAAGAGTTCTAGACTATCTGTTTATAATTATTAGAAATAAATTGTCACGTGAGAATTCGTTAGATGCTTTAAAATCAAGTAAATCATTTAATATTATGTTTTATGACGTATCACGCAATTTGTTCTTGTAAAAAAATTAAGTTTCGGAAATTTGTCATGGTATAGTGGACAGATTTTATGGAATAACGATACTCAATATTATTTCTAACACGTTGAAAAACTATAAAATACGTTAAAGGGAGTGTATGTGTCTGTTTTTGCCGATAAAAACGTTTTTACACTAAATGTATTGCATTGTATGACAGCAAATAAAATAACTAAAGGGACAGTCGAGTCACGTTCCTTATGTACACATATCATATATATTTGTGGTGTGAAAAAGCCGATCTATAAAAAGGAGAATATTCGTCGACTGTGTCCGACATTATTTGGTGGTCTCAAGGTTAGTGTTAAAACTATAACATACGTCTCACTACATAGAAATTAAAATAATTATCAAAGTATCAGCTTCTTTAATTGATTATTCGATTACTTCTGAATGAATTGACGACTTCAAAGGTGTTTGAAAGTTTGATGTAATCATGATACTTGTACTTGAATCATGTACACTTAAAATAAATTGTACAAATTAAAACGGTCTGTTTATGATTTGATCATTAAATATAGTTTTTGCTCGCGATAATGTTATAAAACACCAAGTTTGACTGTATGTATTGTGTAAACTCTCGTATCAAGTAATCTTTATTGTTAAAATAAAAAAAAAAGTTATTATCTACATTATGTACGATCATGTCTTTTACTGTTCTGTGTCCCCATATTTACATAGAATATGTGTGTAATACCAATAACTTAGTTCCTCTTTGCTAAACTTAGTTAATTTATTTTAATGTCTTTTAAGCCTACCCTGTGTTACAATAATGTAAACTCCTGAAGGTTTCTTGTACATTGTATAGTACGTCAAAGCGTTTATTTTTTCCATGAAACTCTTTACGATTAGCATTTTTTTTTTTCTTAACTTATTGTACCAAGCTGTTAGTCATGTGTTTAGTATGTTAGCCGTAAAGCAATCACGTTGAACATTATTGAAAAATGTTATTACTTAAGTTTGAGTATTTCTGACATCGATATTTTAACTTGACAGTTTTTAATAAAAAAATATGTATTATTATTCTGTAGTTTTCTTTAAGAAAATTTATAAAAAGTTGTAACTGTCTCGTTAGAAACATTTTACGATTTACCGCATTATATATCGTAGGCAAATGGTTCTTCTATGAAATCTACTAAGTGCCCATTTGAGAGTTGATTTGTTTTTAATTACCCTCGCCAATTATCAAACATTTGTATATACATGCGAAACGTATATCGTTTACAATATTTTTAATTTTGCTAACATTTATTTTTATGCTTTTTTAATGCTGCAATAAAAGTTTAGTGACTCATTAAAATTTTAACTTGAGACGGCGTAGACAAATAGTTTACAAAATCTATTCAAAACTTTTTAGCAGAATATATGTTTTATGCGGTGAACTCAAAACTTCCATAAATAACTCCTTGTAAACGATTTGCGATACCACCAATGAAAGCAAATAGGTTTATACTCATTCAATTTAACAATACCGTGGGGATTAGAATATAAACGATCAACATGGAATGCCACCACTTCATTGCCATATAATACCGCACTAATGTCACGAGTTCTTGGTAGAATGTAATATTATAGACTAAGGACGTTTCGACTTTTGAAAAGAGAAAATGTTCTTTTTTGATTGCATTTAGTATAAAAAAATCATGAAATCTTATAAACCAATGCTAACAATCAACGTGTATTACTGTGAAAAACTTTATATCTACGTTTGAAAATAAATTATTGCAAAACAGCGTCGAAACTATTAGATTTTAAATGATCAGAAAAGAAGAGTGATGAAGAATTGAAACCGCGTTAAAAAATTGAACAGTATTAACCCGAAATTTCGATAAATCGAATTTTTTTTAATTTGAATAACTTGACTATTTACGCTTTGTTAAATACTAACAGATGTTTTAATTTTTTTTTTTTTAATTTGTTGCAGGTAATTAAGACAAATATTTACTGTGATGTTCAAAAGAAAACATTTAGTTTACACTAAAGAAATAAGCAACAACTTATATAAATGCTAATACAGAAATCGGGCGAACGAGCCATATTGACCACCGAGTTAAATATGTATGAAAACGGGTAAATCATAGTGTTGTTTATTTCTCACAATTGTGGAAAAACGTTATTTTATTGTAGATTCTTTGTGGGTTTCTTTAGATGATTTTAAAAACTAATACAATACAAACTCGAGTACGTTTATATTTCTTTCTTATGCAGACGTTTTTCTATGAAATATTAATGTTAAAATGCATGTTTTCAAGGGACGGCCAGAATTTTATTTCTATTAGATTTAATATTTTATTTTCGAAACAAATTTTTTATTATTTCAGAAGCGGGTGCGCACTATTTCGTCTTTCAAGGTTCTATATATTTATTTTTTTTTGTAAGTTTAGAATCTTTGTTTTTCAATCAATTTTTTAAGACCTTAGTTACGAATAAATACTTAAGTCGGTTACCAAAGGTTGATTTCAAAAATTAAAATTAAATTATTTTATTGTTTAGCTGAATTTATTGTTGATCGAGTTTAATTTTTCGTTTTCACTTCGAGGAGCAGCAAACGGTTATGAAAAGTAGATACTACAATATACAGGTTTATTATGATTGAATAGAAAAAATTTTCATTTGTCTCTGAAAAAATATTATTATGAATGATTTTTTTCGCTTTACCTAGGAATTGTTTTTTATATTACAAAAAACGTCTCCCTTGGGCAATCTATTGAAAATGATAAATTTTGATACAAGTGTGAAAAACGAATTTTTCTTTGTTGTCACCAACAATACGTATAATAATTTAGGTCATGGTGCACTTAACTTAAACATTGTATAAATTTTGTTGTAATAAAAAAATTGTCATTTGCAATGAAATAGTTCAATACTGTAAGTAATTTGTAGTTCAGAAACTTTATTCGTATTTGAAGATTTATTTAACATTTTTAATTCAACTATTTTAAATCTTTCAGATCAAATATCTTTCTATACATAAGCTTTCATACTTGATTTATTTCATTTTTCACAAAAAAAATCTATTTGATCTGATGAACATATTAATAATAATAATAATCAGAGAATAAAATGAGGATAAATTCGAGTATCATTCAAAGAAAACTTGTTTCAACTTTTATGGTAAAAGATTACTAAAGTTTTGAAATTTTATTAATTAAAAGACATCCGAATAGATTATTATGCTTACTTAGTTAAAAGTATAAATCAAATAAGTAGTTTTGTATGTATTTATTTTATAAATACATTAAATCAAAAGTATTTATTCATTGATTATTTTTCATTTTGATTTTTTATGACAAAGAAAAATATATTTATAGAATCAAAATGATCGTTCGAGAATTTTCATATGATATTACAATATCATTCTATTTAGTTTATTAAATTGTTATAAATCGTATTTTTTATTTTATATCCCTAAAGAAATTTTAATAGCGTTTTTTACGTTCGTACACGTTTTATTTATTGGCGATAAATATAGTGAAACGGTAACTTTCAACGTGGAATAGTAAAATTTACATTTTTTTATCATATAGTTCTTGGTTGGTTTAATTTGGTTTAATATATTTGATCGCTTCCTAACCATAATAAACAATAAAAAATGTGACAACACTGTTCCATTTGCTGTTTATCCGTCTCTTGGACTACAATTTTTCTTTACTGACCACAAAAGAATTTATGTTCTTACTCAGTTTCGGTACGGTAATTGGCATTAACCGAAGACTTCCCGTTGTGACTTTAGACCAGACCGAAGCTGTTAAGGAACCCTCACCTTCCTTATTTCCATGCCACCTACCCGACATTTCTACCGTTTGTTACTTCTCTCTGCGAATTACTTACACGTGCAGATAAATTCCCCTACTTTTAATGTGTTCTTTCCCCAGTTTCGTCTTCCTCTCTTCGGCCATAGTGTACTTTGGTGCATCGTTCGTTTTGTACACATTAGACATGTCAGCTAATTTAAGTACGACTCACGCTTTACAGAATCATAAAATGGAAGAAATTGACTATAAGATGGTTTTAAAGTTTATCCTTTACTTAGTTGAATTAAAAAGTCCGAGGTAAATAAAGTCGTTCTGTTGATCCAATAAGATTATTTATATGTTATTGATTTAAACATACAAAAAACTCATTAAAAATCTCGCCGCTTTCTTTATACACTTTAATTTGTATATATACTTTGATTTCACCGTGCTGTTTTATATAGTATTATATTTGTTACTTTTTATTCGATAATTTACACTACAGACTTTAATTTCGACACGTAAACATAGTGACAAATGACGCGTACAGGAACACGTTATGATCACCAGAGTGTAATACTGACCGTAGTTCATTCTAGCAAGATCGCTTGAATAAAATAGTAGTAAAACAAAATTACATGTGTGTCTGCCAGATGATTACACATGTAGCTGTCTTATTTTGTTTTGGTTGACTAGCTTTAACACGTATAGATGTATAAACATATAATAAGAAAGAAGGAAACGTTTCAAATGAACAGAACATATATTTATATTACAATTAGGAGTTGCGTCGAAAAAATGGTCGCACCTTACGTTTTATTAAGTCGTGTTTACTTTTGTTTAAAAGTAAAGAAGCAAGTGAGTTCTATATTATAGAGCTCACATAATTCTTTATGAATTTATCGCGTAGTCAAAATATAACGTTAGTTGAAATAAATGTCCTCTGAACAAAATGATTTATACTTTCGACATAATATACACTCGCACGCGGCGTTTTTCTCAAATGCGAACGTTGTGTTGTGTCCCGAGATACGTGATGTGATGAACGACGGCGGTGTTTTTTGACAGGTTAGAATATTATATAACTATTTCGGCCTCGCCTTGAGTAGAAAATTCGTCTTTTCGTGATCTTCTTATGTTGTTGCCGCCAAAATGAAAAAAACCTTTTTAATGGTTTTTTCTTTTGATCGCGTCGTCACCATCTACAAAAGCTTGCTCGTTTATACACTTTAACGTAGATAAATACGCTTCCTTTAAATACATAATGTATCGAGGGGCAGCTTTAAAATCATCATACGCGTGTTTATTTGAAGTTTTTGTTAACAAAAGTTAATATACAAGTACGAAAATAATGTTGTGTTTCTCTTGGTTTATATTATTTTTACTCAATGTAATATCTACGGAAAAAAAAACTCGAGACGTTTTCTAAGATGTCTACTGTTAGTTGAACGCAATAAACAAGTTGCTATGAACGCCGGAACAGAGTGGTTAACTTCCAATCACCCCAAAACGTTCCTATAAATCATACGACTAGCGAGCTGGGCATTGCGGTCGACGCTGTGGGAATTTTTCCCGGTTTTCCGCAAAGTAGCACATCCATTTGATTTACAGTACCCTAAATTTCCTTACCTGCGCTGCCAGTTCCGTTTTGTTTAACGAATAAAGTCCTGAAAAATCGAACGAATCTTCTGGCTTACTACATAAAAAAAAAAAAAATGAAGAAAAATACCTTANCCTGGCTTACTGCATAAAAAAAAAAAAAAATGAAGAAAAATACCTTATTTGAACCAAAATCATTAACCTCCAGCGAGGGGCTAAAGTTTGCGCTGTACGTGTTTGAAATGAGAAATTCGGATCAAAGCCATGCAAATTTGTGTGTGATCTCATCCCTTGGGTTTATAATTCGATTGCCTGCATACGATCCTTCGCTCAACTTCTCTCGGCCACTGACGTCTGTGTACGCAATGCGGCGAGTGGAACCTGTCGGTTTCACCGTTCTGAAATATAAAACACTGCGACAGATTGGAGCTTATAAGCAATGCACCGTGAAGTCATGTGGGTCGCTCCTTTGGGGAAAAAACCACGTATTAGTTTGATATTTCAATTGTCACGTTTTGAATTGGCATGTGAAAAAAATATCCGATCAATCACAATACTCATAGTTTCGACTATTTGGCGTAGTTTTAAGCAAGAATCGGGTAATAAAATAAAATTGCACCGTCAATCAAAAGTCTAACCATTAATTATACTTAATAAAGTACTAGAAATTGATAATCAACAGATAACAGAATGTTATACAAAGGTTGTGAAACGAAAAAAAAAATTATTGTTAAGAAAATATAGATTGCATATTCATAAGGGATAGAAATTCAAGGATAGTTAACATAAAAGTTTGGCTAAATCATACATAATAAACGTTTCCTATATTTTGTGATCCTAACCTTTTTTTATATTGTTGTCGCGAAGTTTTCACTTCACCTATCCTATTCATCTATCAGACAACATTTTTACGTGATATAGTTTTAAAAGTTTTTCAAATTAGTCGTTGGTAATAACATTAAAAAATTTAATAATATACATGTATTCAATATTTTGTAATTAATTAAACATAATTACTTTAAGTTTATAACTGAAATTTATTTTTCTTTTAAAGAAACCAAAGTATAAATGTTTTCAATGAGTTGGATAAAACTCTAGTAACGGGAATCTAAACTCTTTTTTGGTTTAATTACACAGGACAAGAAATAATAAAAAATGTCCAGTTGCCTGTAATATTAAGATGAATTAACAGAATTTCGACGATGATTCCAAAAGTGGCTTTTTTCCGTCACATATACTTTTTGAAATATGTATATATATATACTTAATTAATATTTAATAGAAATTAAAAAATTTAATCATTATTAAAAAATTGGCTTTTTCTTTGGCTTTATTAATAGTTTAACCTTTAAATTTTTGTTAGATTACTAATTTTTAGAAAAAAAAAAACTGAACTTTCTGCTGTAACAATTTTTAAGTTCATTTCATAATAAAAACTATGTTATCGATAGATAGATAATTTTGTGAGTTTTTTTGATTTTTACATGGAAAACATTAGACAAAAATGAAATTATGAGGAAAAATATATGTCAAGTTCAAAAATTCATATAAATTTAGTTACTCAGTTATTTAACTAATTGTAAAGAAAATCACACATTTTTGACAAATTATGATTAGTAACTTGTTTAAAAATAAAAAAATACTAAATAAATTATGAAACAATTGTTATACGTAAAATCGAAATACACAATTTTGTGTATTAACATCAAGTTATTAAAAAATTTTTCATAGTAATTA